TCCACCCAGACCCTACAGTCCCCTGATGAAACCATGTTAAAATTCACTAGATCCCCCATTTTATATGGATCTGCATAAAATTGGACACATACATAAACATCAATCGTCTAAACATTTCTGTTTTTTGTTGGTCATTAAGATAAATGGATTATTCGCTGAGAAATCAAAGGAGATGATAAAAAAAACTTTATATCTCACAATGTTAAAGAAAGTAAAATAAAAAACATCCTGGATCCAGATCCACAGCAACATTGTATTAATTTTTCCTTGTGTCATGCAACACCCCTTCACAAAGAAGAATGTTTAAGAATGGATTTAAAAGTAGTAAATCTAATCTAAGCTGGTCATTCCAGAGTTTGGGTCCTTACTGGTAAACTGGTCGATACACAGGAAGACAAAAACACACAGGTGAACAAACCAAAAAAGGGACGAGACAGAGGCGAGGTCAAAAACCTATGAGAGCAAATACACAAGGAAGACTAAACACCACGAATAATGACTGGTATCTTCGTCACAGAGGAACTAACATGAACTGGTACAAAGTGAGAGGAGCACAGAGACTAAATACACGAGGAGAGGGGAGACAGTGAGCCACAGGCCACACGTCGAGGTGGGGCACCAGATCACAACAGCAGGAAAAATACAGGGCAAGAGGTAGGAAATGGAAGAAATGGGAAAGTCAAGAACTTAAAGGTAAAACAGCAAATTCTGCCAACAATGTGCTGCATTTCACTCAACACGGCAACAGAAGAAGATTGGAACACGCTCATTATCAAGATTTAGCCTTTTTCCAGGGTACTTTATTTCATGACCCAAGAAGAATCAGTGGATCATCAGAGTCATCATGATATATCATCAGGGAACACTGAATGTCTCTAAAACGTTTGAAGCCAATCCATCCAAGTGTTTTGACATATTTCAGTCTGGACCAGGTGGTGGACGGACCTACGGACCAACCAAAGGACTGATGTCACTTTGTGTTGCCTTTCCATAGAAATAATCAGGAGAATGTTGCAGCTAGTATAAGTGACATACAGCTTTAGACTAGAGATGCTCAGATTTTTTTTTTGACCTTTAAGATAATGATTCCACAAACAACAACTTAGATAATGGATTCTAACCCAGTATGGCAGTGATGTCACTGTTGTATGGCTTATGGCTAATGTTGTTATTGGCAAGACTCCAGCGTCAACCCGTGACACTGGAGTCTTGCAGAAAGTACACATCGCCGTTTTACTTGAGGGACTTTCAAGTGTGAAATATTACCAAGTTGCTTGCTAAACTTGCACTTGCCAGGGGCAGTATAACACAACTGCTGATTTGGAACAAACAAAGATCCAGTTTTATCTGTGTGAAACGAAAATACTTTAAATACATGGTATCGGTTTGGTAAATCCCTTGAGGGCCACTAACCTCTCTAATGTGATGGCTGGAACCGTTTCTTTTTAATTAGGCGTCTGATGTCTGATAGTAGTGATGATGTTACTGGTTTTTTAAAGTTTGGTTGAGTCAGACCTGTGCGTAACTGAATCTTTGCAGGAATCAATTTGATGTCATGACTCCTCAGAAACAGGACGTGCATAGGGCCTGATCTACTAAAGGTTTGCACATGTAAAAACGCGTGCAAACTTGATTTCACCCACAAAAAAACATGCAAGTTGATCTACTAATAGTGCATACTGAGGATCGCGTGCAGAATAACATGCACTGTTCATTTAGTACTTTGGCCGTTATGAATATGAAATATCGGGTGTTTCTACTGCGCAAATACATAAATTGAGCACACAACATCTCATTGAAATACTACTGCCTCTACCATGTTTGCACCTGTTATCATTTGCACAATTGTTTTTAGTAGAAGACCCACAAAACACCCACCAAGCAAATGTGCAATCTGTTATAATGTACATGCAATTTAGTACTCTTTATTTGGGATCTGAGTGGATCAGGCCCTTAGTCTTCATAGGGGGAGGTTGTATCTATTGAAGCTTTTACCTTGTCGTTACTTGGCAGCTCAGTGAAGTTGTCTGGCACATCAGCTCACTTCTCATCAAACAACATAGCAAATATGTTTAATTCCCTTTGTTTACTTTAATTGGTTCCCGAAACCTCTCTCCAAACGCCTGAAGGAGTTTTGCAAACTCACCAGCATATAAAACTGTCATATCAGGCTTTGCTTTTTTCCGAGGAAGCAAATGTGCAAGATAAAACACCTCTTGGCATTGGGTAGTCATAGCCATGCATGAAACTCAGCATTTATACCACACCCAAATATTGTTGGGTAGAGTTTGTTTTGTCACAGGCCAGGGAGAAAAACTGGAAATCTCTTGCATTGTCCTCCAGTGTTTTCATTTTGTACAATATCAGTAATCTTCATTGAACCCTTGAGACAAACGGACACTTTGAATTTGTCTGGTTTTAGCAGCTCTGGAGCAGCAACAAGGTTCCTTCACAATGTCTCCTTCTCAATGAGGTTTGAGCTTCTCAGCTATCAGCTCCGTCACCACAAAGTTTGCCTACATAACTTTGTCACTGTCAGAATGAGGTCTTGTAAAAGCTGCTTGTTGGACAAACAAACTCTGCGTCAGAGTGTAAACTTTATGCAAGAGCGTTTGTCCTCACAACAGCTGTAATGATGCAAGATGTTGTGACTCCTGTGTCCGCAAACTAGAAAAACGTTTGACTATTTCTCTGGGAAAGTGTAATCATCATTATCCATTGTTGACAGTCACCAGCAATGATGAAGCTTTATTTGAGTACATCTACAGCCAGAGAGGACCTATGCCAAGATCAGAGTGGGACTCTGACACCTGGTCTGCCGTGTAAAGCTGTTTTCAGACATGATCTGCAGAGAATGTCCGCACAGCAGGGTCCGGACTTTCTCCGGTGTTCGCCTTTCACACATGCACAACACAGCAGGAGATCATCAAAACCTAAAATCTTTTTCTGTGTCTTCTACATGTATGGCATCACTTTTTCATCCTGAGATATTTGGATTCTTTTGGTGTTTTGTTCATATTTCCGTTGCGTAATATGTCATCAACACGCCCACTCACTCACGGTCAATCGGCCAGAACCTCACTCTACCAGCAACCATCTCCATTTCCTTATCCCCACAATAAAACCTTTAAACCTTCCTCAGTCTCTGCACAAGTCCAGAAAGCTCTGGTGATCCTAAACTGTCAGCAACAGAAGAATATGATTAAGATAATTCTCTCTCATCCTTCCTTGAGTAACAGGTCGGCAATACAAAAACAAATTCTGCCGTGTATCACTGAGAAATGAAAGCAGACTGTCCAGCTGCTGTCATGATAAGGTAGAACTGCTAAGAGCTGCAGACAGTGTTGCTGATCCCTCCACCTCTTTCTGTACCTCAAAATACACTGCACTCTCACAGCAGCTGTCAGCTTTCCCTCACACTGTGGGAACTTATTATTAGGTCTCCTCATGTCTGGGTCACTTCAGGCTCTTAAATCAGGAGACTGAAGCTTCCAGTAGCTTTATTTCCAAATTTCCACAAAACATTTTCACATTTCACATAAAAGATCCCAAAACTGCACACAAGACCTTGACATGCCTCTGCAGAAATCCACCGTGCAACTCCCCCTTTTCCTTTCCCGCGCAAAGGACAAAGCCTGAATGAAAGCATGACAAAGTGGCACTTCAGCTGCGTCTTACACTGCATGCTGAGTTCTGCTGCAGAAGTACTCAGAGTACTTATTTGAGTAAAAGTAGCATAAACCAATGTACAAATACGCTGAAGCAAGTCAAGCGGCTGTATTAATAAGTGTTTAAAATAGACCAGTGTTCCATATAATTATGTTTGATGGGTGTGACTGATGCATTGACATATGTGCAACATTTGACTCTTACATAATGTATATAATTTTGTCATTTATTCATTGTCATCAATGATCCAATGTTTTGTGTACGAAAGTAGTGCAATGAAAGGTACAATATCACCCTCTGAAATGAAGTGGAGTAAATGTTTAAAGTAAGTACTTAAATAAACTAAGTGTAGTCCAGACGTGTGTTGTGCAAGCAGAGAGCTGGGATAAATAAAAAGTACATTTTACAAAGGAGTGTCTGTAGAATGATTGTATGATCATTCATGGAACTGCCTCAACAACACAGTCTGTGTGCATGATGGTGTGAGACCACCCATTCAGCTCAGGACGAGAACAGGAACAGGTTGCAGAGTCAAATCAACGCAGTTTTTCGAATGGTCACACCCACTATTTTAAAGGTATTCAGAGGAATCACCTTGAGCATCTGTGGAGAGGAACTTTACATCAGTAAACACGACATATTCATCTGTAACTATCACAGGATGAATCTGTCGTGATTTACAGTGCACCACCATGTGCTTCATGCGCCGGTGTCTGTGTGAGTGTGTGCGCTTTGGATCGCTCCATGTGTGTGATCAGTGCGCCTGAAGCTCGCTGTGCCACAAACTCAATCCCACTAGCCTGTGTTGTCTCGTCCTGCAGTGAACCTACACAGCAGTCTGTAGTTTTTCGGATTGTTGCCACAGTACCTGGCCAGATCCAGAAACGAGTCGGCGGTCTCCTTGTCGGTGGTGATGCTCTCCAGTCCCAGTTTGTTGGTGTTCAGCCCCCCCGCGCCCACGCCGGGTTTGATGATGAACGCCAGGGCCACCCCGATGCTCGAGGCGATCAGCGTGGTCACCAGAAAGTAGCCGACCGCGATGCCACCCAGTTTGCCCAGGGAGCGCGTGTCCAGGCTGGCGGCGCCGGAGATGAGGCTGCAGACGACCAGCGGCAGGATGATCATCTTCAGCATCCGGAGGAGCATCTCCCCGGGGAAGGCGAAGTAGGTCATCTGCGCTTTGGTCAGGTTCATGTTGCGGACCATCATGCCGAGCCCGACGCCCACCAGCACGCCGGACACAGTCATGATCACGAGCAGGTTCTTCCTCAGGCACGCCGCCACCTTCTCCAAGAAGCTCTTCTGCGCGCTCTTCTCCATCATCTTGTCGGTGGAGTCCGACTTGGGCAACGCGTGTCCGTTGATCTCGCTCATTTTCTCCATCGTGTCTTTCTCTGTTCTCGGAGCAGCGTGGGAGAGCTGAGTCCGGTCACTGGTAGGCAGCGTGGGATGGCTCCACACCGACGTCTGCACGCACTGTGCTTGAAGGCTGGTGCTGTGAGTGGGCTGCGCGCAGAGCTCACCGGGAGCCAATGGAAGATGAGGGACGACACAAAAAGCGAGTGGGACATGCGCACAGATCCCGCCGCTTTATACTGAGAGCAAATGATGCAAGAGCAGAAGGGATTGCCCGAGTTCCTATCTGGCATGTGGCACAGTTCCCTCTGCTGAATTTACTGGAAAGAGATGGCACCAAAATGATTACAAGAAGAAGAGTTTCCCCAAAATCAAAAATCAACTCTCCGTTATTTCACATCCTGTCTGTTGTCTCCATCCTCTCCACATTATGCTCAGTTAAGGACTGAACCTGTATCCCTACGCTTCTTTATTGCCCTGTCATGGATACACCAGTTACATCATGTACTCTTTTCTCTCACTGGTTATTTAAGGCCGATAAACCATTTTCTACTCCAGAGCTTCTTCCAAGTCAAATGTTCTTCAGCTTCCCATCTGGATCTACTTTAGCCATCCTTTCACATCCCTCTCCTCATTTTTCTCCCGTCACCCCCCACCAGTGGAGGCACAAAGCCTCTCATGCTGGGTCTGGTTCTGCCAGAGGTTTTCTTTTCTCTCTGCAGTCTCCATGTGCTGGTTGTGGGAACCAGGGTTGGATGGAACAACATCTTGGCCCTGGCATTTAGGCCCAGACGGACCCCATCCACCCACAAAGCAGCAGGTTTAGTGCAACCAAACATTCTGTATCATATGTATACATATATACACATCTGACATTTGTAACCAAGCAAACAGCTTGAATATCGGTTCAAAAATTTACTGAGTTATGAACATTTTAATTCATTTAAATGTGCTTTAGAGGCAGCAGCACGTACCAAGGTGGTTAAATGTAAATGTGTTTTATACTGTTGATAGAATTAAACTATTGAGACTTCATGGGACACAATGAGATCACAATGCTCTGAGAGAGAGAGAGACTCAGAGTGTGTGTGTGTGTGTGTGTGTGAGATGGGCAGTGGACCAAACCACTGTGAGCCACATGAGAGGGGGGTTCGGTGTTTCAGAACCTAAAATGCTTTATGTTGCATCTGTAATTAGAAGAAGACATACTTTATTGATCCCCCAAGCGGGAAATTCTTTTTACACTCATTTTATTTTTTATATATTTATACATGCACACAAGGGGCTCATAGACATGCAAAAATGGAGAGAGTAGAGTGATGGGAAGCCCCAGAGAAGCACCCTGTGAGCAATTGGGGGGTTTGGTTTCTTGCTCAGGAGGTGAACTGGCACCTTCCATACTTTTAGTGCATGCTGGACTTGAACCAGCCACCCTCTGGTTCCCAAGCCAAGTCTCTATGGCCTGAGCTACTGCTGCTTTTAATGCATATTATTTCATAATAATGATGAGACGGATAACACCCAGGATGGGGGGGTGTCTTTTCTCTCAATTTCTCTGACCTCCCTTTCACTTCTTCACCTTTTTTTTTCCAGATTAATTATTTAAAGGTTCAGTGTGTGGAATTTAATGACATCTAATGGTGAAGTTGCATGTTGCTGCTGAATGCCCCTCATATCTCTCTCCTCTTCCAAACATGACAGAGAACCTGTGAAAACCTTCAGTTGTCATAGAAACTCAAAAGCTGTTTAGTTTGTCCAGATTTGACGACTGTAAAACGCATGGCAGCCTCCGTAGAGAGGATCCACTCCAGATGTAAATAAAAAGTATTTAAATACAAAGGGCCCATTCTAGGGTAAAGAAAACAACAGTTTGTACAATTTAGATAAATCACACCAGTGAAATCATCACTAGGATTAATTATATTCAATTTCTGCCAATAGATCACTTTCCCCTAAATCTTACACCCTGGACTGTTGGGTTTCTCTATATTATTCTAAAGTCTCAATCTGAAAGTGCCTTGAGACTGAAATTGAGATTTGATGCTTTAAAAATAAAACTGAATTGAATTGAACTGAACCCATAAAACATCCAACACACATCTAAAGTGTGATGTGTTCACACACCGGTCATGACTTTAAATCACACTGACTCACGAAGAAAAATGATTATGGGTCATTGGCAACGTTATGTGTAAGAAATCCTGACTGATCATTAAATGTGTTACTTCATTCATGTGTCGTTCTTCTGAAACATTTGACAAACCTCTGGTCTGACTGTCCACCTGCTGGAGGCCAGAGTCAGGACCATGGTCAGCTCTCTGCTCACCTCTGACATCTGTCCACACGTGAAACCGAGCTGCACCTCCGCGTTTCCACCACGAGATGGCGCTACAGTATGCATATAGTTTTAGTATTATCCACACAGCAGACAAAGGTAATAAGCTTTACTAACGCAGGAGGGTAGAAAAAGAAAGAAAAGAAAAGAACTTTGCCTCTATTTGAATGAAATATGCTGTATACGTAAAGTTGTTCATGATAATAATAACAACAATAATATTATCATTGATTTATAATCAATAATCAATGATCAATAATCATTGTCCTAATAGTTTTGGCTGGGGGGTTTCTTTCCTTTCACTCTTCTTCTTCTTCTTCTTCTTCTTCTTCTTATTATTATTATTATTATTATTATTATTATTATTATCATTAAATACCAAATGGAAATGAAATGGTGTTAACTGCTCCTAAGATCAGGCTGATAAAGTAAAATGAAATAAAATAAAATAGTAATATTTCAAACGAAATTTCAAAAGTGACAGAGGGTAGATGAGTCAGGGTGTTAAATGGGATCTCCACTGATTTTACCCATCAATGTCTGTTCCGCAGGTTTTTCAGTGAACTCTCAGTGGTCAAGTTGCATTGTTGGTAATGTATGTTCCAGTCCTAACAAACATTTTAGATTTTGTATTAGTGTTTGTTTTTTTATGTTCTCTGTCTTATTATTTTTTAAACAGTTCATGTTGTTGGAGTGAAATCTTCTCTTTTATGTGGCAACACTATATTTCAGTTTGCTCTCTGTCCGCTGACAGTATTAATTATTGATTATAATATCTTATATTTTTGACTGATTGAACCTTTTACTGAGTTTTGCTGTTTTTTCTTTGGGTAACTTTTAAAGAAAAAACTGACAGGCAAAAAAAGAATCAGCAGAGCGTTTTATGGAAGAATACTCAGAGGACTGTCATGTTTTAATGAGAATCGCTGTACAATCCAAATGAGGAGCAGTACCTAGACGACAGACAGAGAGAGAAGCAGCCCTCTGTCTCGTTGCCTCTGGTGCTGTCATCTGTGTTGTCCTCAGTGACCTCAGCTCCACTGTTGCTAAGTTGAGCTAAACTTTCCCTCCCTCCGCCAATAGAGACAGACTGTCCCCCTTCCCCTCACAGCTGTGTGGCCTGAATGCTGGAAATAACCCCGGCCGGCGGATCAGGAGTCGTGGCTGTTTAACAGTGGCAAATGTTGGCTCTGTGCCGCTGTGAACTAGAAGGAGGAAAAAAAAGACACAGGCTGAGCTTTATAATGGAGCTGGTACCAACATTTATTAAAGATCAAATCTGATCCAGGCAGTGTGATCCACCCTGATGACCCTGATGTGATGGATGGGATGCAGCTCTGTAAAATCCTTGTTCTCTGCAGTAACAAGTGAACTCTGATTCACACACTGATTTGGCAGAAACCTGTGGATCAGTTGCTACATGCTGTGTATGGATGAACCCTGCACCTACAATGTGTGAGCATTTAAGACTCACGGTTAATGGTGGAGACTTGAAACAATTTAGAAATGGTCAGATGAGTCAAAAAGGGAACGTCATCTATCTGTCTATCTACCTATATATCCGTCCGTCCATCCATCCATCTATCTATCTATCTATCTATCTATCTGTCTGTCTGTCCGTCCGTCCGTCTGTCTGTCCATCAATCGATGCATCTATTTATCTATCTATCTGTCTGTTTGTCTATCTATCTATCTATCGATCTGTCTGTCTGTCTGTCTATCTATCTATCTATCTATCTATCGATCTGTCTGTCTATCTATCTATCTATCTATCTATCTATCTATCTTTCTCTCTCTCTATCTAGCTATCTGTCTGTCTGTCAGTCTGTCCATCCATTGATGCATCTATTTATCTATCTATCTATCTGTCTGTCTGTCTGTCTAGCTATCTGTCTGTCAGTCCGTCCATCCATCGATGCATCTATCTATCTATCTATCTATCAATGAGCTGAGTTGACTATTAGATTTAACCATGCAGCTGATGCTTATTGTAGTGTTTAGATTAGATTGTTTGGCATGAAATCATACATAATATAATAGTTCAGTGATAACAAAGGAACGTTCACCACATGTCCATAAGTCCAGAGTTCAATATATCTTTATTCAAGAGCAGGTAGTTTACAGCAGGTTTATCAGAGAGGGACATCTGCCGCCTGCTGCACTGGAAAAGAACTGTGAGATGATTTTTTTTTTATCATCGGAGACAACACCCTTTAAATACCCAGCCAGCACCTGATGAGAGACCTTGTGCTGGGATCAGACGGGACAGACAGCCACAAGCTCCTGAACATCAGCCCCCACGCTGGAGCAGCAGAAGTGTTGACAGGTGAAGGACAGGGTGAGAGTCGCACCTGAATAACATGTCAGTCTGGAGGAATAGCCTATAAGGAGAAGCTGAGAGAGGAGAGGGGCTGGGACAAAGGGGCTGCTCCCAGGTGAAGGGTGAAGGGATCATGTTTTTGGGCGACGGGACAGGGCATCAGGCGTAATGCACTCTGAGCTTGAGCGATAGGAGAGTGCCTGTCTAGTCTGACGGGAGCTGAGGTGCTTTGCTCTGCAGATTGAGGTTCCTGTAATCTGTTCAGACGATGCGTGGCTGCTCTGCCCCCTGTGGCCAGTACCTCAGGGGAGATGTGTGCACGGCAAACGTTAAGGGGCTCTGGAGGCTTAGAAAATGGTCACCTAGTAGCATGTTCTGAGGAGCGTGTGAACATGAATTTCCAAAAAGAAAAAAAAAAACAGGATTACCCTCAGATGCTGACCATTCATCCCTTCATCATCCATCTGTTATCTAAATCACTTCACCTTTAAGGGTCACAGGGGGCTGCATGGAGCCAAAAGATGCTGAACATCATTAAATATCATGAGGGTGAGAGGAATATAATCCTTTATATTTACATAATGATGCAGTTGTGAGATGATTATCAGTTCTTCATCTTTACTTAAGCAATCACTTTATAATCAATTTTATTCACATATTAATTCACTTACTTGTGTTTGTGAGGCACATCCCATGGCTTTCCTCCACATACACTGCACACAACCACCTGTTATCACTGGTTCCATACTTACTGTAACGTGATAACAAGCCGAACCATTTTAATAAAACCTGAGAAACACCATCCACTAAACAAAGCCAGGTGGAGTGAAGCACCAGGAACATCTAACAGAATGTATTTATCTTTTTTTGGCCATAATGCTGCTTCTAAGCCCAAGACTGAATTTCAAAATTGAAGGGATAAGTCACTGAAAAATGAAAATTCACTTATCATCTATTCTTTCGAAGGTCCTCTGGACACTTGGATGACACAACAGGAGCAGTATTAAGGCATTTTGTGTTTCTTTTCTGTAGTTTTCCTTTTATATTTGAAGGAGTCGCCATTTATTTCAATTGTATTAGATTTGGCTGCATCACTGTTTACCCCTGAGTATCCAAAAGTGTTTTGTGGACTCAAACACTTCACACACCCCTCCATCGGGATAGTGGTGAGTAGATAATGAGTACATTTTCATTTTTCGGTGAACTATCCCTTTAAGATTAAACCTCACTATCCATTTTTTTTTACACATTCTAAATGAGTTGGTCCAGATTCATCTATCTATCTGATCTACCCTCACTTTCTTGTTTTAATTACACTCTGGCTTTAACAGTGCATCATTGTCAGGGTGGGGGAACGGATTTTAAGTACAGACTCCTCTAAAAGCACAAACTATAAATAGCATCAATTCAGTTTTGAATATTTTGTTGTGTAAGGGATGTTTTGCACGACTGGTCACGTGATGGTGAGAAGCAACTGACAGCTAAGGAAATAGCTATGGAGTGTTGAGTTGAGATTATTTTGTCATTGCAGAATCAAGTATTAAAAGCACAAACTAACCTCAGCTAATTTTACATAACCGTTAGTGTGTTTGTGTAAATGCACATCAAATAACAAAGTGTCAAACAACATCAGAAAGTGAGACGACACAAGACAAGGCTCTTTTTACAGTTTATTGTATATATATATATTTATATATATATATATATAAAACTACAAAAGTAAGACTGTTTTAAATTCACAGACAGCTGTCCATTTATCTCATATATACATGTATATATATCAGGATTCAAATGTGGACTGTACATATACCAATGTGTATGCAGTCGACATTTAGATGCCAATACAGTGATCAGCTGATAGTTTCTCTCTCTGTGTTCTATTGCATAGAAAAAGGCACAGCTCTGAGGTCTGTGTAAAATACAGCCTTCGTATAGAGTCAGCCTCGACCGTGCTCAGTCTTCCCCCGGCTGACTCAACAGGTTCGGTAACAAACACTGATCAAAAAAGTCTCAGGAGCTCGAATGTTGTTCATACTATGTACATTACTTTTGGCATTGAAGCGTCTATGACAGGCTTTGGAGTCTTGACATCTGAAGGTTGGAGACGGGTTTTTGAGTATTGCTGCATTAACTGTTCGCCTTCAACTGGAAAAACTGATTAACAAAAAAAAGACGAGTACAAAAAGGTGTAAAAAGTTGTGGCTGCCGACCCACAAAAAAAAAAATCAATAACGTAGCAACAAACAAACAAATAAACAAGATAATATAACTACCGATGTATATAAAAAAAATGGCTTCCACCCATAATTCCACACTCAGATACATTCCTATCTGAAGTACATTCCTACCACACATTCTGTACACGCATTTACAATCCAAATGTTCACTTCACATCCAAAATAAATATATTTACACAAAAAAGAAAAAAAAAACTATATGAATAAATAACTAAAAAAAAAAAAAAAAAAACAAGCACTCCAAAATTCAAACAGTGAAAGAAACAAGACACAGTCGTCTATACACAACATGAGTTGGTGCTGCTGTCTGCTCGGCTCACACACTCTGAATTCAGTTCATTGCAGGTCATACACATACGAGCTGAGGTCAAGTGTCAATAGTCTGGGAACTCATGAACCAATGATTCTCCACTGTTTGAGTTTTAAAGCCTCAGTGCTGTTGGCTGCCACAGGAAGATGAGTCAGGCTGTAATGCAGATAACACATTCTGTCCCATTAACAACTACTGAGTCCCACCAGCTGGGACCTCTGCTAGAAATACCATTATCAGACCGTTTTACACCATGGAAAGGCTGTGCTGAGAGACACAGAGGCGTTGAGGGTTTCTTGTGTTTAATAGTTACTTAATATTTTGTGACGTAAAATAAAAAGCTGTTGGTGAGAAACCCTGCTTTTCAGGACCATGTGTTGTGTCAGTCTAAGGTGTATCTGTCTTATATTGCTGTGAATATCCAAACAAATGTAGATGCAATGTGCACATTAAAGCTGCATTCATTAATATGTTTATATTCATAGAAAAACTATAATGCATGATGTGCAAGATGTTGTTTACAGTAATAAACTTGCACAACTTTCAGTTTCGCTTCATTAGAAGGAACATTCAGTTACTTTTAGCTCATCGCTCTGGGAGTTGCTTTTATTGAAAAAGCTCTGATAAACTATCTAAAAGCAACCACTTGCAGAGAAATCTAGAGATTAGCGGGTGGGCATAGAGGAGCATTCATGTACCAGCTAGTGTTTCCTTCGGGCGTTCATGGAGACCACAAAGGAGCAAAAAGGAAAGTAAGTTACCAGGTGGCAAGAGACATGGGAATAAATTAACATTAATGTGTATTAGTTAACAAGCAATATATCGTAACACAAGTGGTAATACATTAAGAAATAGCACAAAAATATCAATGAATGCAGCTTTGAAAAGACCCTGCTTTGCACAAATATTCAGCCAACAGCTGAAATGCATTGAACATGAATGACGACTGATCCTAGAATAAAAGAATCCCAGGGTAAATTTAGAGCCTTAAAATCTGATTGCACTGCTTAATTACTGTACAAGAGAGGAGCTGCTAAGTCATTGCTTCTGTCTTTTTTTAATATTGTATTCTTTTTGTTTTGTTGTAGAAACTTTGGAATACAATTTGAAGATGGTTAAAATCTGAAGTACCTCGTGGTTCCGCAACTGCTTTGACTTTGAAAAGAATTTTACATCTGCAGATAGCAAACGCTTGTGTCCACTTCACGCCTTTTCTTACAGTCAACATACAGCTGTGTTTGCCCATTTCAGAATGGGTTGCTTGTAAATTATGCCTGTTGTCCAATCTGATAAATTTAGAATTGCATGCCTTTGATTGGAAACAGCATTGATGGAGGAGAAACTAGAGGTGGCTGTGGCACAGAAAACAGCAGGCGTGGATTCAAGTTGGTGCTGTGCTTAACATTTCAGGTGAGTTGATTTCATTTATTTTAACTGTACAAATGGTATCGCTTGCATAAAGTTAGTCTTTTCTGATTCGTCTCCCTATGCTGAGCATATTATTCAAAAGCAGCCCTTCATCCTCTATAGGAGCCAGAGCGGGTCCCCTCTGCCTGTAGCTTATACATTTAAATATCATGCATAGATCTGTGAGTTTACTTCACAACAAAATCTGTTATACCTAAGACAGGTGATTTGATGGTTGCCTAGCAACAGAAGAAAAAAAAAAAAAAAGCCCTGCATTGCTCTATTTTTTTGAAAGTGTTGGCTTCCACGAAAGAAAAAAAGGCAGCGCGGCATCTGATCGGGCCTTGGGTGACACAGCAGTTCTCAGCCTTTTGTCCCTGCCCCACAAGCACCTCCATGCATTTTTATCCAGTAAGCATCACAGCCAATATCCACATGTGTGACTCGAGTAAGGAAATGTGTGTGAAAAGGAGTTTCAGTTTTAACCGATAGCATTCCAAAGAAAAGGCTCAATCGTGGACACAGCATTTGACTAGTACAGAATTTATACCTAATATAGATACTTTAAGATTCTAATGAGACCATTATCTGCGATGCTGGACTTTGCAATCACATTTAGTCATTTAGTTCTAAATATCATGCATAAGGCTGTGTGCAGGGGAGGTTGCGTTTAGAGTCTTTTGCATGGTTGCAGATTGAGTTTCCTACCTCAGTGGAAATACACATTCAAATTATTTACGAGATGGATTTAGCCCTCCTGTTATCGTATGTGTTTAAATCATCAATGAGCTCTGTGGTCAGCCTCAGCACTGTGGTGCACGATGTACAGAGGAGCTCTGAGATTTGGCATTTAGAGCTCCCATTCTTGACATAGGTAAACATACTCTGCATATACAGCGTGTGTGTAATACTGTATGCTGTGCTGTAATTTGTCTGTCACTCATGATGCTAATTCCATGTGACCCAAACCAGAAATAAGACATTTTCCACAAAAATATCAACTTTCTTTGTGTGATTCTAAGAAATTCCACGGAGTCACTCTGGAGCCACAGTGACTTCCCCTGCAATCTGTGCTCGTTGTTTTGGGTCCAGATTGAACATGTGTTAAGAGCCCACAGTGTGTGCTTAGGTTCCACTTTTCAGGTCATCTACATGTGACTGGGAGGGAAGAGTCGGTGCTGGCGCTGCTCCGCTTCCCATGTAAACACATCCAGCTTTCCTGTGGGTGTAGCTCATTTGAATTCTGCTGTAACTGAAGCATGATAACTAACCCATATGCCCGAGCTCATGTAAAATAGCATCCAGCACAGTTATGTGTCTGCCAATAAAAAAAAAAAGTCCTGAACTGAATTCATAGACAAGATGTGTACAAGAACAGACATCTCCTTCAACCAACAGTTTAACAAACAACTAGGCAATGTTTTTAAGAGCTAATCCCAAAGCGTAATTATAAAGCTGAGCTAATATGTAATGTAGCACACTGGTAAAACAATGTCTTTCTCGTAAAACCTTTTTTATGCTTGCTTAACAAATAAAACAAAGCATCTACAATAAGATAAAGATTAAATAATTATTATTTGATCATGAGAAATTACCCTCCATAATTATAGTTCTAATACAATACAATAATTTAAAAAAAACAACATCGACGAGTGACCTCGCTAGGCTGTTGAAGTGAAAAGACTAGAAAAGAAAAAAATACTGTAAAAAACAGGAATTGAATAAGTGGTCATTTTGAAAGGCACTCATCTGCTAAAAGCCATGGATTCAGTGTGTGTGTGTGTTCACTTGTATTTCTTTACCTGTGAGAAGTAAAAGTCCTCACAAGGATATAATGACTGCAGAGTCCTCGAGAATGAGGACAATGTGACAGTCCTCTATATTTTGTCTATTTACAGTTACTCTGTGGGGTTAAGGCTTAGGTTCAGGTTAAAGACTGGAACTAGGACTAGGTTGAAATTATAGTTAGGGAATGAAAGGAGTCAATGGAGGTCCTCACAAGTATAGAAATACAAACGTATTTGTGTCTTTGTTTCCCAGTTACTTCATTTCCATATTTGGAAAGGCGAGCACAGTGCATGCACAGTGTTGTGTAGTAGTAGTAGTTGTCAAAGTAGTACGAATTGACATCACCATCGATGTTTACAATTACCGATCTTTGAACAAAGTTTAAAAACAAACAAACATATAAAACGACCCCCAAAGCGATCCCAACTTTTCATTCCAGTCTGTTCTCCAGATCAAACTTCTTGGTTTCTGACGTGTTGGTGTCCGTGAGTCACGACCCCACCAACACCTCCATGATGTGGTCCAGTTCTGTCAGATCAATTTTAAAAGGCTGATTGGCTGAAACCTGCGGGGCGGAGCCGCTGTATGGTGACGCAAGCGATTTGAGGAGGTCGTCTGTCGTCACCACTGGTGACAGTTTGGCAAGGCCCCCACTTGCCGCCACGCCTACAGCCCCCGTTGTTGTACAGGGGTCAAAGTCATACATGGACGTGTCAATGTCGGCAAACAGGACATCGTCCAGCGCCAAGTCTGAGAGAAACCCCGAGGGTGAGGCAGAGGAAGGAGGTGAGGAGGGACATGAGGAAATGTCTACTAAGCCACCAGGGGGCAGTGTGGGCAGAGTGTCCATTGGCCGGAGCTCGGTGCAGCGAGCTTCAGCTAGCAAGACGCTAGCTGCCTCTGGTTTAGAGCCCATGGTCCTGCAGTCTCTGAGTTGGGAAAGGGGTGCTAACTGGGAGGGCCGGGTGAGTGGCGTGGGAGCTGGGGAGGTAGTCACGGTCATAGTATTAGCTGCTGCTGTCCTTGTTATGGCTGTGGGAGGACCCAACTCTATGTCACCCAGCGTGGAGGGGAAACTGTCACTGGACGGGGGAGGCACAGGGATCCTGGGGGACACCTGGCTCAGAAGTGCCAAAGGTAATGTGGGAGACTGCGCTGGGGGAGGCGACAGAGGAGGAGTGGGTGGGGATGGAGCACAAAAGGTTGAATCTCCTCCATCCTCCTCCAGTAACGAGGCTGGAGTGAGGCAGGCTTCCAGAGGGGCAAGGCAGGCCTCTGCACGGCTGGGACATGCTTGGGATGCCTGGCAGTTGGGAGGCACCATTGGGTGGGGTGAAGGCGGTGGAGCGATCGCCGGCATCAACAACGCAGACGGCTGGGATACCTGTGCTGCTGCTGTTGCTGATAAAACCCCAAAGGAGGGCGGCGCCTCACGGAAGCCCTCATCCATGGGGTCATCGGGTGGTGGCGACGGTGGCAGGAGTAGCGGCCGCAGTGAGCCCTCCTGCTTGAGTTCATCCTGGATGCGTCGCAACATGTTGTTGATGAGGACACGGCGCTCCAGGCTGGGCTCGCCAAGCGGCCGCTGGCTGTAAAGCTTCATCAGCGAGATGTTGAAGATGGTCTGGCGCTGCAGGGTGTAGGAAACCTTAGACAGGCCCTCTGGGCCGAGGCTTAGTCCCCCTCCCGCCACCGCCGCCTCCAGCGTTTTGCCTTCCAGCCCCTCTTCATCCTCGTCCAGCTTCCGCTTCGCACCTTTACCGAACATATATCTGGAAGAAAGACAGGAGACAAGAGTTGATTTATCGCTGGACTTAAGAAATTCAGAAAAAAAACTGATTCAACTAATTCATTCAGTGACTGATTCAACCCCCCTCCACTGGACTTTCTCATGACTTCCTGTGACAAATTCAAAGTTCTTCTTCCTTGCTGGATTGTTAATTATGTAATTTCTATGTCAGTGAAATGTGTGATGCTCACTAAAGCTCAAAATTCTGATTATCCATTCCTGACTTTTGACCTTTTGGTGTGTTGATCAAATCAAGAGTACAGCTGGATGTCAGCATTAGATGATCAGTGTCATCTCACTGAACCACAGAGACCGTTTATTCACCAGAGAAGTTTTCAGACTGAAACCCAGTAGTAGCTTAACCGTGGTGATTCAAGAAGCTGCTTTAAAGCAACAAGCTGACTGCAACAAGGGATTTACAAAAACATACATTGAAACCAAGAGCAGCTGCATTGGGAACCTTGCCACCACATAGTGAACCTCAGCACACACAAACACACACACACAGACACACACACACCAAGTTATGTAATAGTAGCGTTCCCTGCTGTACCACAGGATCATAGTCCAGATTTAAAGCCCAGCCCCCTCCACCTCCCCTGCCATATTGGAATAGCACATTGCGTTACAGGGTGAGGGGGTGGGGCAGGGCGGTGGGGGGTATACTGTGTATGTGTGTGTGTGGCGGGGGGGGGGGGTCTCGGTTATTCCCTTAGAATATATGAATATATTCCCATAGTGAAATAATATATGCCTCTACAGATCAAACTATCTGATGGTGAAGAAAGAAAGAGAGAGAGAGAGAGAGAGAGAGAGAGAGAAAGAAAGAAAGAAAGAAGGCATCGCTGCAGTGTGTTTGACTCTAATCCAGGCTGACAGGCTCATGCAGCCAGTTGCTGTCTACACACACACACACACACACAAAAACACACACACACAGACACACACACCGCGCATGCCTCTCCTCATACACACACACACACACACACACACAGGAAGTGTGAGCTGCAGGCCCAGTCACCACGACTGGTTGGTTGCCATGACAAACAGAGTCAGCTGGGAATTCACCCAAAGAGATGACAAAGAATGGGATGGGGGAGAAGAGGAGGAGGAAGAGGGAGGGACAAGGGGAGGGGGGGGGCAGGAAGGAAGAGGAGGAAGAAGAGGAGGAGAAGTGAGAGGAGGAAGTGAAGGACTAGGTGAGAGATTGGTGTGGAAGAAGCGGGAGGTGAATGAGCAACACTCACTCCTCTCTCAAATAAAACTACTGCTGCGCTGCCTATGAGCAAGGCACTGAACCCCAACTGCTCTATAACCAAAAGTTTTTGAATTAGCTCATATGTGGTGCCGGTCTGTTGGATCATTCAATGTACATACAGAGTTTCATAGTAAGATTTTGTTGTCATTGGCCGTTTGTATTGAACATTTGGTTTTCTTTACCTTGGGCAACTAGGAGTGCAACATTATTACATGTTAAAACATTTGCTAAAACACTGTCACTCAGAGTCCTCACTGTCCAAGGCACTGGTTATAAACTGTTGATTGTTGATTCAACTTTTCAGTGTGACTGTCTCTAGTATTTTAAGGTACTGTGAATGTTCAACAAACTATCTTATTGAGTCAAGTCAGTTATATTTCGATTCAAACAACTGTCATTTGTTCATCTCTTCTCTATAATGAATAAAGCATTAGTTGCTAAGCTATGCTCTGCTACGTAAACCACCTCCTGGCCTTATATTCCATTCATAGCTAACACACAGATATACAGTAAGAGACTGGTCATGACTTTCAAACCTATCTCTAAACAAGACAGCAAATAATATAATAATAAGTTCCCCATACATTTTGAACTATTCCTTTAACTTTATCAATCAGACTCATTCATTAAATTTCAATTTTATGAGTGATGTTGAGACCTAGCAAAATAAAAGCTGCAATTGACATCAACAGTGTGACAGCTGCCATGACAGAAAAGACTAAAATATTTTATGCTACAACTATATTAGCATCAGAGCACTATAAAGAGTTTTATATTGGTATTGACATATGCTGGTCATTAAGACAGAAGAAGAGATTCCAGTACAGAAGTGTGGATGATTTTTTGGAAAAACTGTTTAATTTTAAAATGTCCTTCTCATGTTATATGAAACACAAAGCGATCCTTGGTAGTAATGTTTTCATGTCAAGAAAATGTAAACTAAAATATTTCAAGGGGAAAAAATCCATCTTTCTTATGAACAACAATTCCAAGTTTAGAATACGTTACAAAATATTTTACATATATATTTTATATTGTTACAGTTTCTATATGTTCCTATGTCTGTTCTTTGTTATTAATCTCATTTGCTGTGTTTTAGTATGTTTTTGTTTGTGTTATTTGTCCCTGCCTGTATTTATATTTGAACCTTTTCTTACTTCATAGCTGCCAATCTTAACCAGGACTCCCTGGCAGAAGACATATTATATCTTAATAGTTAAATATAGGATGAATAACATTAAACATTATTAATTCCGCAACTTATACATGTTGAGGAATAAGCCCATAAAGCTCCCTTTGTGCTGTCCCTGGTTTAAAAAGAGGTTTTCTTTACTGCATTACAAAAATCAACACATGTTAACTTTACCAATTGATGGATACTTCAACTGCAATAAGAATAAAGCAAATACAAAATAATATATAGAAAATGTTTATTTATCATAGGAGGTGTATATTAAAAAAATGTTTTTATACTGTTTTACACAGCATGTAGATCATTACTTCCTGCTTCTGTGGGAATTTAAGATGGCTTTTGTGATGTTTTCAGGTGAGTATTTAGCTCAAAGTAGAACAACAATTGAAACCCCAAAAAGGTTTTGTACAAAACAGCATAAATTCTGAATATTTAGTGTTTGTTTCATGCTGACGTTTGGAGTTGTGAGTTCAGGCTGGACACACATGAAGAAAAAGGACATGGGTGCATGTCTTAATAAGAGAATCCTGGCACCAGTTACCTGAATTATTCATCATTTTTTTCTCCGTCATTTTCATAACCAAAGAAGAGATGGCAGCTATGCCTGTGTTGTCTGATTGAGAGCTGAGCTCTGGGAGGTGCAGAGCAGAAACACCTCAGTGCTAAATGTGAGCTACAGAGAACCAGAACATTTTTTAAACCCATAGTAGAAGCACTAAAGAGGCTCCAGACTTTTAGCACTTCTTTGGTGCTAAGAAACTTGATTAAATATTCATTTACATGTATGTTAATTTAAATAATCGTGATGTTTCATTGCAGCAGTATATGGCACTTCTAGGAAAATGGCGTTACAGAGAGAAACAGAGAGAATCAAAGAGTGAGCAACAGAGTTAGTTTCAAAGCAGTTTGCGGGTGTGTGATTGAGAGCTGAAGCAGCTGCACATGTCTGACTCACTGACTCATGGCAGTGTGTTTAGTATCACACACACGCACACACACGCGCGCACGCACACACGCACGCACACACAGAAACACACTCACACACACACACGCACACAAAACACACTCAGACACACACAGAGCGGGGCTAACATACCAGAGGTGCCCCACCCCTTACATTCCACTTCATTATCCTCCTCTTCCCTTTCCTTCTCCTCCACCTCTTCTCCTCTTCGCTCACACTTTTCTCTTTTCCATCTTTTCTTTTTCATCCTCCCTCCGGTCTTAGGCTCTCACCCTCCCGCCTCCTTCCACTGACTGTCAAAGTTCACAGGCCCAGAGCCGTCCTACACCATATGAGCCATGTCTAGAGATGATCACACCAGGAGAAGAAAAAGTCAAAGTAAGAATAATAAATGAGTCAAGCCGATAACGCAGAGCGGCGAAGGAGGACCCTGTTCCAAAATGGAGCCACAGTCATCACAGTCGTCACTCAAGGTCACTGTGACTTAACACGCTGTTGTCAACTGTCTCGCAAAGTAGTGTCTTAAAATGACCTTTTTCCTAAAGGTTTTCCTTGAGCTTTATTTTGGAAAAAGCCTCATGAGACCTTCAAACGAAAAAGCAAACAAATATAACCAGAAACCAACCAACCTGCAGTTTTTGAAGGTCAGAGCTAATACTGATATTTTGAGACTGAAGTTATAGATCTTTTTTCCTCCCAATCGTCATTACCTTCAAATGTTGGCAAGCATGATGAGTATTCAGTGCGTACAATAGAGACTTGTACTCATCAATCAATGAATCAAATCAACCTGCATCATATCAGAGGCTGAAAGCTCAAACTGAAAAAGGTTTTACTTTAACAAAAGTTCATTATTGACCTTTAATTTTCTTCAACTGTGTCATGATAATTAAGACATTTAGTTAAATGTTTTTTGCAGAATTTTGGTCTTTCTTCTCTCATCATAGAATTAATCTTGCAAAAACAGAAAACAAAAAAATAACAAACTCTGAAATGTTTCTACAACCACAAAGCCCGTCTCATTGTCTCATGTCACTGATGAGAATTAACAACAATTGGGAACAACAAAATACAATCAAACAGCATCATAAACTGAAAAGTCAACTTATTTAGATGAGATTACAGAAAAATATGGGATGTGGGCCTTGGTGGTAAAATACTAATTTAAGAGAGAAAAGAGAAATGGAACGTAAAGAAAAAGTAGTTACTTTAAACATATGTTAAAGGTACAGTGTGTAGAATTTTGTGATATCTAGTGTTTAAATTTCATGTTGCAGCTCACCTCACCCTCTCCTTCCAAACATGAAAAAGARMCTGTGGTAGCCTTTAACTGTCATAAAAACTCAAAAGGTGTTTAGTTTGTCCAGTCTGGACTAATGTAAAAAACATGGCGGCCTCCGTAGAGAGGGTCCCCTACATGTAAATATAAAGTATTTAAATATAAAGGRCCTTTTCTGGGGTAAAGAAAACTACAATTCATACAATTTAGATGAAATGAACTAGTGAAAACCTCATGAGGATTATTCTTCATTCAATTTCTGCCAATAGTTCCCTTTCACCTAAATCTTTCACACTGGACCTTTAAGGACTGAAAGGTATAAATCTAATCACCAACAGATGGTGTCAAACATAAAAACACAAATGTTTTACACATTTACAGGAGAGTTCAGGTGTGTGTGTATGTACTGTATGTGTGCGTTTGCCTGCCAACTGTACCTGCAACCACACTTCAGACATGTGGGCTGAGCATATTACTCCAGGAGCTGCCTGTAGTGAGCGTGTGTGTGTGAGCGTGAGCGTGTGTGTGTGTGTGTGTTGTACAATAGTGCAGTGCTAGTGGATGGACTCTGCAGTGATATTATGATCCTGTAACCGGATACGCTGGTTTCCATGCCTGAGCTGCACATCCACCCCTCCCCCTCACCTCTACATCGGGCTATTTCAGGTTCTCTGGATGCACAAAGTGTGGACACACACTACGCACTGCACTGCTGCAGGCAGGCAAACCCAACACTGTGTCGTACGCTTAGTTCAGCATTCACATGTGCATGAAGGCGTACAGCGGGCCGACTCGCCGCTCACAGTCATGACTGGACCTCCGCTGTCCCTCGTCACTGTAATGCATCCAGTCCTGCACATGAGGACAACATTGCCACAGTCACTCTGTGTGTGTGTGTGTGTGTGTGTGTGTGTGTGTGTGTGTGTGTGTGTGTGTGTGTGTGTGTGTGTGTGTGTGTGTGTGTGTGTGTGTGTGTCACACACATACATAATGTAGAACTAGTAAACACATTCCAGACAAACCCAGAGGAAGAAATTAGTTGTAGTGTTTGCCTGATCAGATCCACTACAGTAAATATCAGCTACGCTTCCACATACAACTTCAGCTACAGTAACATTATGATGATAATTACGTCTACTGTTTCCACCACAGCTATTTGTACTACAGCTCTACTAATAGAAGTGACGCAACTATTGTATGATATTTAAATAACTTTCAGATATTCATCAGAAGTAACACAACCAGATTTAATCATCAAGAATCACCATCATCACCTCACCAGTAGTTCTTTCACTGAAGAAATCGTCATCTCGCTCTTTTGCAAGCGCAGGAAAATACAGGGTATGTGCCTTTTCCAAACAGCTGCACGTCCCATTGTGTGTCTATGGTGCTCAAAAGCCTGAAACCTGGACATCACACCATGAAACTGTTCAAGATGGATCAATCAAACAAATCAGAAGTGATTTATGTGGTTTGAAATAGGACATTCTGTTAGGAGACCTGGTGATGGTGAATAAGTTAAATTGATTTGTGGCTTCAAGCACTTTTGCAGCCAGAGTTTAAAAGTAAAATTAAAACAAAACTACATCATAGTTTAGATTACTATTAGTGGTAACTGCATATATTGTGATATACCCCAGTAATTAGCTGAAACCCTTTATAATGAACCCAAACAGTCTCATTTATCTTGAAAACACTTTTATTTAGATTTCGTGGAAATAAACAAGTTTTTATGTAACAACAGAGGATGAGGGATGGTAGAGTGTCCAAACCAAAATAAATAAGCCAATCATGTGGCAGGAAACAAGAGTGTGTGTACTACAAATGTGTGTGTGTGTGTGTGTGTGTGCGTACATGTGCGTGTTTGTTTTCCCTCGGAGTGATCATAAACGCTCACATGACAAAGTCAGTTGGTCACAGACAGGCAATTCACTACGATCTCTTACATAATAACAGGACTGGTTACAAAACACTACAGTTCCTACTGCGTAACACGTAGTATCCCATTAATAACCGGTCACAGGCGTGAGAGACCAAGCCCAGGTTGGATTCAAAGACGTAAAACAAAACTGAAGGGCATCATGGATCCTGGAGAAGTTTGTTCCTTAGGTTTGATGAATCATAAATCATCATAATTCATTTTTAAAGAGCAATCCTCCCTTTTCTTGATGGGGGAGACGTAGTACACTCTAATTATGAGCAATGTGAGAGTAATTGAGGGCAGAGGTCAGGAATGAGGAAACAGAGTTACTGACATGTAAACCCTTCTTTCCTGACTTGTTGAAACTACACTCAGTTGCCAGTTTGTTCGGAACATATAGTTATGTGGGGGTTGTAGTTACAAATATTTAGTTGAACCTCATCAACACAATTAGAAAAACCTCTCAGTGCTGTTATTTAGCTAGGGGAAAATGGCGAATGTATGCTCAAACAAGTGTCACATTTCTGTACAGCAAACACTATGAGTCAATCATAACAGAGCGAGGTGACAGGTGCTCGCACTCTAATGACTTGTTCTTTGGAATGAAAGGTGCTGTTACTTAAAGGCACAGCCCAAAAAAAGGTAACACCATGTCTCGCTTTAACTCAGGATGACACACACGGGCATCCTACATCTCTCTCTCTCTCTCACACACACACACACACACACACACACACACACACACACACACACACACACACACACACACACACACACACACTTAAATCTATAAATAAAATGCAGAAGAAGCGAGCAGAATTAGGTCAGCAGACGTGTCCACATGCAGGTGAGTTTTCCACTCTCTCCACCGAGCCTCTTCAGTTAGAAAACCCAGTCTGACACTTCTGGTGACAGAGCTACGGGAATCCACAGCCTCAATATATCCGGTGTACACAGTCATACCCATCTTATTACTGCAGGATCTGCCTTATTACTGCAGCATGTACAGTACCAACAGCAGCATCGGCCTTATTACCACAGTGCCCATCTTGTACGGCAGCACCGGCTCCAGTGCTGCAAGTGTCATCGTTCTTACTGCAGGCAGGTCCCTTATTACTTAAGTATAATCCTTATCATTGCAGTACACGCCTGGTTACTGCCGGTGAAGCCATGCGGCTGCACTAGGAGCTTTATCCAGGTATTCAGAAACTGAAGGTATGCAGTACACTGTATAGGAACTTGCCACAGCCATCAGAACCCGCTTATAAGCCTGCAGCTGTCCCCTCTCCCATACTTTCCAATACATCTTCATATCAGGGCAGACTAACAAACATAAAGATAATGTGTGTGTGTGTTTAAAATGTTTTAGTTGTAGTGTGTCCAAATTCTAAAATGTTCCTCCCAGATCAATGTTGATTCATTGAGTCTGAACCTAATAGCTACGAGCTAGAAATATTTTTGAATAATCAAGGGCAGCATCATAAAACTAAAAGGCAGAATGTTGTTTCCATTTTGACATATATGTATATTAATATTGACTATTTGCACTATCTTTTATTTTACCTCGTAAAGTATCTATCTCGCTATCTAGCTATCTCTCTATCTATCTATCTATCTCTCTCTCTCTCTCTCTATCTATCTTTAGAGTACTAAAACTAATTGCTATGTCTCTTATTGGAAATGTCTCCTGGACACCTGAGGGGTTCCCCACTCAGCACAAACTAGGCTCTCACCCACCCTCCCCCCCACCACCACTGTGGTTATCTGCTGATCTCCCGTGGAGGCCCAGTTGTGTAACTCTGCATCACATCTGTCTATTATGCTGGGTGCTCTGCCCTGGCTCCTGTTCGGCGGGTGCTGGTCCAGACGGGACCTCTGGGGTGACCTGCGAGCAGCTTGTGGGTGACAGCACAGAGTTGGGGGGGGGTGGGTGCTGTGTTTGTGGTGCATGTTATGAAACAGAGCCGCCCCCCCCCCCCCCCCCCCCCACCCCCTCCACTCACCACAATAGCTGAGATGGTCCCAAACACTGGGGGACCAAGTCACTTAACACCCCTCTGCAGGATCTAGTTCATGTTTAAGAAAAATGATAATTCAATTAATACAATACACTATGTGTCCTTGCAAATGTGCATTGATGCAAATATGACGTCCCTGTTCTGTTGACACATGGCCCTGTGTTCAGATATGTAGCCTCCACCACAACATCTGGTCTCACACTGACTCTCAGTGAAAAGTGCATGGAGGAGGATTTCAACACATTTCGATCATTTGATGTCATTTGGAAATCACTTGTTAAAGGTGGAAGAGCTTCAGTGGTGCAGCGATAAGAAGATCCACTGGGGAGAAGCAGCGTGCACCAGAGGCTGCGAGTGTTTCAGCGGGACTCTCCGTGTATTTGGGGGTTTTAAAAAAAAAAAAAAAAAGTTTATGGGACTGACTTTCCTCCGCGGCGGTGGAGTGGAAAGTGGCGGCCGCTGCCTCCGCTCTGAAGCCGGACTGAGTGTTCGGCAGGGCGGGATACAGGTCTGGATACGGGGGTGAATGGAGGAACCGCGAGTGACGGGAGATATTTAACATTTAACAGGCAAACTTTGTTCAGCCAGGACCCCGCTACAGCCCAGCAGCACGGAGACGCCAGCCCTCCGCCGCGTCTATAATTCATTACAAACACTGGCCCCCGTCCTTTGACGCGTCCGCTCCGTTCGTCTGTGTCTGCTTCGAGAAAAAGGTGGAAGCGTCGTCTTACCGTGTGCAGGTGGGCCGGAGGGAGGGAGAGAAACATGGAGGGCGATTTAAAGTCCTGTCAGCTGCAGAAACACGGGCCGTCCGAGCTGCCGGAGACTCTGACACACAATGGCGCTGACAGGAGGAGGAAGCTGCTGCGCTCCTCACAGGACCGCTGCTGCCTTCACGGACCGCCGGACAACGCGCGCGCTGCACGTGCCCTGACATCCCGCAATCATAGACTGTGCATAAATTATGAATCTATAAATATTGGTATGAATTATATCAAGTTATTCAAATGCATGATTTTAAAAGTGATTTAATGCGAGAGTTATAAGAAAATTCACCCCACGTACAGTTGTACTGAAGGAAGGACATGTTGTGTCCGATATCACCCACTTACTAACTGAAGGCCAATTCATGCTTCTGCGTCAAAGCTACACTTAAACTGATGTGCACCGCCCTGAAGATGTAACCACGCGTCAAGGCCACACAGATCACGAGAGCTGTGATTGGTTGACTTGGTCCGACAGAATTGCCGCCACTTTTGAATTGAGTTGAAGGAACGAACACGGACAACATCTTTCTTTGCTTCGTGGCAGTTCTTTAAGAAATAGTAATCGCTCTTCAACATCTATCAGCTCCAACCCTAACCCTAACAAAATGTTTGCCATTGGAAAATCCAACGATTTTTGTATTTGAATTTGTATGACAGGTCAGGCTGTTCCAGCTGCCCTCTCGCCTGTTGGCTCTCCACTGCAAGCACAATGCATAGTTACACAATACTATTCACAATGCATTGTGGAAATCAATGAAATAACTATATATGGATCTATATAGTGAAAAATGAGTGGCCATTACTGAGTAGATTTGCAGTTTTTTTGCACTTCTGCATTGGTTTGGAAAACCAGTCCTCAGCCCTGCAGATTTGATGTGATGCAGACTTTTGCTTGACATAATTATAATGTATGAAACAGGATAATGTCTGGTGAAATATCGCACTTAAGTAAATAAAAGCATGTTGCTTTGACCACTTCATAACTAAATCTTTTAATTTGTGCTTATATTTTAATTCTCTATCTCTGAGAAACTCTAAAGATGGCAGGCTACATTTGTCTCTCCCCTTAAGACTTGTGGTCAATTTTTGAAATATTATTTAACCTACAATTAATTAAATCAAACGTCAAATCTGCCAACACATTTGCTCAGTTATACTTCCATCGCAATGAATGACTGCAATATTACTGTCACTACAGGAACCATTTTGTCATGGAGATTTAAATTTCCAAGGGGCACGTGAACGTAGCAGGAGAAGCTGAAACCGAGCAGCTGCCCCGAGAAGTGGCGTCGTCCACTTTGCTCCGCCCACACACACATATACACACACACACACACACACACACACACACACACACACACACACACACACACACACACACGTATTCTGTAACTTTATATCTCTCCTCTCTCTTAAGTTAATTACATATTAACAACATTTTGAAAGTGGAGGTAATGTTCATGTTATTCTCTCACTAATACATTATGTTTTTTAGTGTCATGCTTTTAATTTTCAAGTATCTTACAGATCTTCAGTGTCTGACTGTGTTTTTACAGTTTCCTGACATGCCCTGAAAACTTCTTACTGCCACAGAGATGGTATGTGGTCACAGACAGAAATGGGTCTGTGGACTGTTGGTGCTGATCAGTAATGTCAGTCCTGCCCGGCAGCAGATGGCCGGGTGATGTCCAGTAGACTCAAACAAAACCCGGCAGAGTCTGCACACATGCAGACAAAAACCCCAGCGGAGCATCCCGGGGGCAGAAAATGGGCATCTTGGACCGTTTGTGCCCCCGATGCCCCCTGCTGCACACTCACCCAGTTGTGCACTGATACACTCACAGACACAATGCAAGGCTCCCCGTTTTTTCCCCGGACAGGCTGCCTCTTTGATCAACCTGCTGTCACAAATATTTCCATCTATTAAAGTCCAGTGGGTACAAGATTCAGTTGCTGGGACTGAATCTTTCAGTTTGTCCTTCTGTCAAGACCTTCACTGTGCACTTAAGCTGTCCACTGTAAAGCCTGATCACAACAGAAGGTGTCACAAAAAACCTCATCCATGCATCTTTGCAAATTATTCCAAATGTGTTACTGTTCTCCAACATTAATGGAGCCACGCTGTTGCTAGGAAGTTAATTCTGAACCTCCAACTGAATCCTACGGAACCTGAAAGGGTCACGGCAAGAGTTTGTTTTTACTTACCTTGCTTTTGCGTCCCAATATTTTACTTCTATTCTTTTGAGCCATATGAAATAGAGTGCAGCTCGGGCCACATTTTCTGTCTGAATCCGTCTGAGCCCAAGAGAAAACTAACCGAGCCTGACCTGATTCCGACAGTCATTCTCTGTGTTGTTGTCTGAACCTGACCCGATGCAGTTAAAGCTACGATTGGTAATCCTGGAAAAACTAACCAGAGCAGGCTCCACTTTGAAAAAGAACAACTGATTCATCACACACCTTGCCATCGTCCCTCTCACTGTAGCTACTTCCACAACACGTGAATGTGCACTGACTGACAACTGTTAGAAAATTACTATGCTGTGACTTTACTATGTTTATTGATGGATTTCAGAACCTGAAATGGATTTTTAAAAAATCAGATTAAAAGAATTCAAAAACAAATGATTAACACGACCATCAATGTAAGCTGCACTGAACATGTGTTACCCTGTCCCCTGACAGGCTATTGCATGTTTTCCCCTATTACAGCCAACGTGACTGACCCAAACCAGAATATCATTGCAAAACTTTTTTCTGAACCTGGTCCAGCCTTTCAGTTCCTGGTTTTGAGTCGGGTACTCTTAATATGTTGCCGATTTCCGTAAATTCCGACAGTATAGATCAGTTTATTACACTTAACTTTGAACTGGGCATAATGTTTGCTTATGTAGTATTACTGCTCAATATGCATAGTTATATAATCAGTGAAAGTAAACCGACTGAGAGGTCTCTCCAGAAAAACAGTGATCTAGTATTCTGAACCAGTCACTGTACCCAGGGCAACTGCACAATACAGAAGACTGCACACCTATAATGAAATACTAATGTTGCATGATGGGAATGGGAAACTATTGCAAAAGAATGGAAAAGTAATCCTCAAACAAAACTCGCTGTTACTCTTCCAGGACTCTATTATTTCTACTGACTTTACTGTTTAATTTACTGATGCGACCAGTCCTTAAGAAATCATTGGCTGAAAGTTGTAAGACACAAAAACTTCCATCACTGGACTGTATGGACATGTATGAGGTTTTTTAAGGTTAAACTGACTAAGCAGAGGAGACAGCAGAGCTTAAGAGAAACTGCTGCTCAAACAATAAAACCCAGGAATTGTATTCTTTGCAACAGGGATTCTCAAAATATCAGACATGAGACGTCAGCTGGACTACTCTGCTCAGAGGCGGGTTACAGTCTGGGGAACGGTAGCTCTGTGCGTGCGTGTGTATACGTAGCTTCTGTGGTGAATGGAGATCTGATTTTAGTGCTGTGTTCATCTCTCCGGCCTCTGAGTTGACTCACGAATGCCGAGCAGCAGAGGAGGGATGGCTCTAAATAAAGATTTCAGGTCAAAAACAGGAAATGGCTCAGTGAGCAGGGAGGGCAGGGCCATAGCAACACCAACTGGAGAGCTGCACCCACAACATCGCTCGTTCTCCCTCCCTCTCTGCCTCCCTCTATCTATCTTTATTTATTTCTCCCTCGCTCTCCTTTTATTTCCCTCTCTCTGTAAAATCTGCCTGTTTCTTTTTTTTTTCTTTTGTTCATTCTTGGCGTTGCTTGATTCGTATTCCCTCTCCTCTGCCTCCGTGTTTGTCTGTTTTTCTGCACGTAATGTGCTTTTTCTCAATTTTAAACTCAGTGACATGATTGTCATAGCTGAAACAGAAATATCTGATGCAAAAAGGTCACCAGTTTATGTATTAAAAGTAAAACCCCAAAATTATTGTTCCCAAATGTGCCCTACAAAATGCAACACTGTCATCATCATGTATGTGAACATACTAACAACATGTGATGCTACAAAGCCAATTAGAAACCAGTCAGTGCTTAATTTTGTTGTTGTGATGTCCTGTTTGTTAGCGTTCCTTTGAGCACGTATCAGGTTGTGTGTGTGTGCATGTGTCACTATCAGTGTGAACCTGACTCATGGTGAGTTCACTGGAATCATCTCTCTCCACCCCACCTCAGTGCATGAAGCTACATGTTGCTCCCATCCATGGCCATGTTGCACCTTTGGGTGGCAACTCTCTGGTTTTGCGACTGGCACCAGAATTAGCTTGTCGACCATCATGTTCCATTTATAGTCGCTCTGACACAAGCACACACAAGCTGCATTCTTTTATCACTAATGTCTATAAATTCACCAGACAGAGTTAGTGATTCATACATCACTACAAACCATAGTAAGAGCATATCATTGTGTTCTTGACTCTATGAGGCATTTAATAAATGCAATAACACAAAGCTAGAAGTTTGTATTGTACTATAATTATACTACTATAATAACATAGTACAAACACCTACTACTAGGCTAATACAGACAATAGTGCCTCAACTTTTACGATGATAGCTGCTGCTACTATCATCACTACTGTACCAACATCTACTAAAAACTCTGAAAAATGTCAGAGTGAGCAAGAAAAATCTACATAAACACACACATGATATTATATAATATATAAGACTAATACACAGCCACTGAAGAAATGTATTTCCTATCCCATGACCCTACCCCTCAGGGCTACATGTTAAAGTCTACTGTTACCTTCTACCTCAAACATCCTTCAGATCTCTGGAAGAAGTGAGGAGCAAACAAACTGTTCTTACTCTGTATCCATATCCAAACAAGTCCTTCACACAAAAAGAGTCCACATTGAGAAAATTAAACAGCAGTGACAAGTCAACCAAGACAAACAATAGTTTTGGCATTATTCAGCCAACAGATGATGGTTTCTGTTGCAACTGAACCCGATCTGCTGAAGTCTCAAGACGATATCTAGATTTAAATTAAGTTTCAGAATTTTCTGTAATTTGGCAAACTAGGCAGTGCTCCATCTTCAGGCCTGAAAAGACAACACGATGGTTATCTGTAACTCGGATGTATGTGCTCCGTGATACGAGGTCACAAGTTAAAATTGTTT